TTCATCAGTTCATTAGAGACATTAGTAATGGTGACAGGAAGAAAACCCATCAGGAAAATATTTTTAAATATTTTAAGAAAAGTATTTTAGAAACAGTGATGTTATTTTAGATATTTTTTTTAATCTAGCCAGAATTTTGAAAGTGTAAAGTTTTGAACACCACAACAGTATTCATTTGGAATGAGCAAAGAAAACAATACTGCATTTGGATTTTTTTTACTTCTGTCACTGGGAACCCATTCACAGGTGACAGTAACATTTCTTCAGCACACCCAAAGAGGTGTTAGCATAAGTTGAAGGAACCTCCTGGGCCTTTTATCAATCACCAAAACATGGGCCAGTGACTTACAGATAGGAAGGTTTGCTGTGAGCAAGTGAGCTAACATGACTTATAATTAAGGATAAAAATGGCTAAAAATATGAAGAAAGGGTAATTACAAGAAACTTCCTGAAACTCAACTATTAACCCAGCTATTAATTTGTAGATTATAATCTACAAGTAGGATGCTAGGTCAATTAATTATGGGCATTTGTCAGACTCTCCAGGAACTATAGGTGAAAGTAATTGCTACAGGGTAGCTCATTAGTGTTTGTAAAATTACAATTGTATAAACTGGAAGAAAAAGCCTTTCTCACTAAGTGATTTCAGATGAGGGAGGCTACTGAACAAAATTCTTTAAAGATATTGTAGCAACATCTTGGTTACATGAATTTCTCCTCAGGGAATGCAGAATAAAATCCAATATACAAATTTAAGGTTGGGGGGAGCCATAATCCTTCATGTGTCTCATAGTCTTTCTTGGGAACTTAGCATAAAACACCTGTCATGTCAATGAGGAAGAATACAAACCCATGCATAGGATGAGTTAACTCAGGAAGAATAAATAGTTTTAAATTGTGATAACCCTCGTTTTACAGACCACTACCTGTTGTAACAGAAAGCTGTGAAGAAGGTTTGATACCTGTTTTGGTGATACCCATTCCCAGTCCAGGCACTCTGTCAGGTTCATTTCACCCACAGACCTGTGATTTTACCAAATCACCTGTGAAATTATCACATCCACCCATCAATACGGGCGATTAGGGTACTAGTAAAACACACCGGTACCAAACCGCTAAATCTGTGCTTTTCAAATCGATACTACTGTACCAACAACACCAACTCAAACCTACTCAAAACCCCCGAGGACTAAGAAGATACGAACAAGGCTGCGATTCAGAGTGAGGGAGTTTCGGTGGAGTGAAAAGCTCCGTTCCCGCTCGGGGGGGGCACGTCCCCTCACAGCGCGCAGGGCATTCTGGGAGCACGGCCGCTACCGGGTCCTTCAGCGTTGTGGCTGGCCGCTGACAGCCTGATCCACACCGTAGCGGCGATTATCCCGCCCCGCCGCGGATGCCGTTCCTCTCGCCTCGAAGGAGGGTAACGGGGCTGCGTTCATTGAACCGTCCGTGAAGGAAATATCGCTTTT